CTGGATGAGAATTGTTCATGTTTACATTTATATGGTTGGTTCGCACATTTTGGGAACCATCATCATCATCTTATTCTGTAATCAATTATGTAAGGGTGAACCATGACTGACTGACTGACTTTCTACCCCACTAGGACATCACACAAGCGATAAACACCCTATGACACAAAGTGCCACCATGTGGATGAGGATCGCAGTGGAGAGGTCCCAGAAACCGCGTTCAGACAATTGGCCATTTTATGGCCTGCCTATATTGCGGCCCCTGGCAAAAAAGCCAGGGTGGGGCTTCAAATAACAAAAAATGTCATCCTAAAAAAGGACGAAACTGGATATAAGGGTGAACCATAGCGCTGCCTATGATTTCTTGTATGTAGTCCTTGCTTCACAATACTTCTTCTTCAGCGATCTCTGGTCATGAGCATAATCCACTGTGGGTCATAAACTGGGATGTCTTTTCAAGGTCCTTAGGTTTCCTTAAAGCTTAGTTGTCAGTTCTACTGCGTGTTGCCATATGTTGCTCCGCAGCTCCGCCAGGAGAGGACAGTCTTGCAGGACATGTTCTGGAGTCTGTTCGGCCTGAAGGCACTGGCAGAGAGATGTTTGGCTCATACCTAATATATGTGAGTGTTTATTGAGTCTGCAGTGTCCAGTACGTAAGCGAAAAACTGTGACTTGGTCTGTTCTGTTCAAGTGTTTCAGAAAATCTGTTTCGTAGTTATAACCAGTTTTGGTTTTCCAATCTGTTTATGATTTTCTCTTAATGAGAGTTTTACCTTCTGGAAAAGATAGTGGCTGGTAGGTCTGTGGTTTGTTACTGCCTTCCTTGGCTAAAGCATCAGCGCTTTCATTGCCTTTGATGCCACAGCGAGATGGAATCCACTGCAAGAGAATTTCAGCCTTTTTTGACAAAATAGCAAGTTCCTTTGTTAGACTTTGTAGTGTACTGTCGGTAGGTTTGGACTCAAGGGCCTGTATAGCTGACAGTGAGTCAGTGAGAAAAACTATCCTGCCTGCGGTAATTTGCAGATTGTTCATATACTGTGCTGTCATCAAAAGAACTGAGAGCTCTGCCTTGTAGTTAGAGCAAGTTTGTCCGGTGGGGGCTGCTAGGGACACAATAGTGGCATCTGGGTGTTTTATGTAAACACTTGCCCCACCATTCGTAGTTGCCTCTTTTGCTGGTCCATCCGTGTAGATTCTCGTCCAACAGTCCTGTGGAAACATGTTGTTGAGGTGTTCCATTGTGAGTGCTTTCTTTACTAAAGCGGGCTCAGCATCTTTATTTCCCAGGTTCGGGATGGATGTTGACACATTGAGTGTCAATAATTCGGAGTCCCAGAGATCGAAAGATAGCCCTTCAGGTGTACATTGTTGGTTAAGTAGTGAAGAGAATGACTTTCCAAATTCCTTAGTTAGATGGTTTAGGCTTGTGCGCTTTATTCTGTTTTTTTTTTTTTTTTTTTTTGGTCCTGGCTGCCAATTTTTCGAGTAGTGGGTGGTTTAGCATTCTCTTCATTTTTTCAGCATCTAGAATTGCTTTTGTCCTTCTTTTTTCTTCTAAGGTGATGATGTTGGCTGCCTTTTCCATTTCTACAATAGGTGTTGATTTTATGGCTCCCAGAATTGTACGCAGACTTCTATTTTTCCGTTTTGTCTAGTATCTGTTTATTGGAATGGGCTGCTGTTATCCATGACGATGATGCGTATTCGAGAGTTGGTCTGACTGTGCTGGTGTATACCTGCTTCAAGATACAACTGTCTGCTCCCCAAGTTTGTGCCTGCCAATTTCTTCATTGCACGTTGTTTTCTCATAGCTTTTTTGTTAGTTTCTAGTATGTGATGTTTCCATGTCAGACGACAGTCAAGCTTGACTCCCAGGAAGGTTAGAGTATTGGAGCGTGGAACAGCATCATTGTTGAATTTTAATGTAAACTTTTCCTCCTTTGTAGACAATGAGAAGAGTGTTGCTACAGTTTTGTTCTTGTTTACTTTGAGGCCCCATTTGTTGGCCCAGTTTATGACCACTATTCACACTTTCCTGGAGTTTTGATATAGCAGGTCCAATTAACTCAGAAGTGTACCACACAGCTAGGTCTTCTGCATGAAGAGAATGTGATACATGTCTGGGTAAAGCTTGAGGTAGGTCGTTGATGTAGATCAGGAACAGGACTGGAGACAGTACACTACCCTGTGGTACTCCTGCTCTCAGCTTGAATCTGGGACTATGTGCTTCATCTAGTTTCACAGATGCCAGCCTGTGGGATAGGAAGTCTTGTATCCAGTAATACATTCTGCCTCTTATTCCACTATGTAAGAGCTTTAGCATCAAGCCATCCTTCCATACTTTGTCAAAGGCCTTAGACATATCAAAAAAGACTGTGAGGGTTTTCTTCTTTTCCTGGAAGCCATTTTCTATGTCCTGTGTAAGGTATGCTACCTGGTCATCAGTGCTTCTGTGCTGTCGGTAGCCTGTCTGAGCCGGATCCAGTTTGTGATTGGTTTCTGGGAACCACTGAAGTCTGGTGGTTAGCACTCTCTCCATCAGTTTTGCGGGGAAACTTAGCAGACTGACACGCCTGTAGCTCTGAGGGTCCTTCTTTTCCTTGCCACTTTTGAGGATAGGGTGGATTATAGCATTTTTCCAGATATCTGGGACTGCCTAGTTTCCAGCTATAGTTGTATATCTGGAGTAAGATGTTTTGTGCTGCTGGACCTTATGTTTGAGCATGTCGTTTGAAACTTCGTCTGGGCCAGGTGACTTCTTTGACTTGAGTTTCCTCAGTGCTCTAAGTAGCTCAATTAGAGTGATGTCTGTCTCCATGCATGGCTCATAAAGGCTTTTTTGAATATGGAGTTTATCCCATCTCGGACTGCTTTCTTTTGCTCCAGGGTTACTGAATATGAGCTTTCTTTCTCGTAGTTTCGGGCCATCAGAGACGCTGCTTCCTTCCCTGTGAGTAGATTTCCTTCTTGTTGGAGAACTGTTTTTCCGTGAGATAGGTTGTCATCATTAAGTGCCTTTGTCAGTCTCCACAATTTTGTGGTGTCTTTTTCCATGTTCAGAGAAGCAGTCTTTTCTTTCCAGGACTTTCTACACTGTAGGTTTCTTTCTCTGACATAGAGAGCCATTACTTTGTTGTGTTGCTTCACAAGTTCGTCTGTTGGGTCAGCTACCATGCTATCTCTAGCATCACAGAGCGAACCGTGAAGCGCTTCCAGTTCTGGTGACCAATATGGCTTGTAATTGTGCCTCCTTCCTCTAGGAATGTTTTTTTTTTTTTTTTGCTGCATTCAGTATGGCCTTGTTGAATTCTTGTACATCTCTGTCAACCTTACCTGACAGGCTGATTTCTTTGCAGTTTGAGTCTGCAAGTTCTTGAAAAAGTTTCCAATCTGCCTTTTTGTAGTTTCAGCTTGGTGCAGTATCTGGAGATTTTTCTATTTTAAGGCTGTTTATCAGAATCTTCACTGGCCTGTGGTCACTGCCTCCTAACTGGTCACACACCTGCCTAACAGATATCTTATGGATGTCATCTGTTGCAAATGCTAGATCAGGTGTGTTTGTTGTGCGCCACCGTCTAGAGTAGTGCGTATGCGGGTCATCAGGGTGATTGAGAAGGGTGAGACAGTTTGTGATTAGCCACTCCTAAAGATTTTCTCCACGAGCATCTACACAGTCATAACCCCAGCTGGGTGAGTGACTGTTCAAATCTCCGATTATTAGCAAGCTGCTCTCTTGAACCTGTATAGCTTCAAGTTCGGTGGGGAGGGTAGGTGGTGAGTAAATGTTGTAGACTGACATATTTTTATTTTTTAGTTGCAGCTGGACAGCAATGAATTCAGTATTCAGCTGGTTGGATCTATGTAATTCAACAGCTGGTATTGAATTGCGAACCAACGTGGCAACCCCACCTTTATGTCTGTTTTCTCTGTCTTGGCGAAATATTTCATATCCTCTAATATGAAATCTTTTACCTGGGTTGAGGTGCGTCTCTTGAATGCAGATAACGTCGATTTTTTTTTGTTGTTGCTTGTAGGCGTTACTCTAGTTCTCTCTTTTTGTTAAATACACCTTCGGCGTTCACAAAACAACTATAAATAATTTTATTTTTTAACTAATTTTACTTTACACAAGTTTATTGTTTAAACAAACTCTGTGCTGGTTGTTGAAGATAAGGACAGAGCATGCATGGGAATGCCCCGAGTGCTGTGATGTCAATTCTTGACTCAACTCAACTCATTGTACAAACATAACAGCAACAAAATGGTCGTGAGCCCGCGCTAGACCATAACAAAACAGGCAGTTACTTTTGAATGTGGTTGATTGTGTATTTCAGTTATAAGGATTCACTTCATTGTTGTGTTAGATCCAAGTGTTACTGTAGTATGCACGGGAGAGGAGGGGGGCATCAGAGAAAAATGCATCAATAAACTGTGCAGTCTGTTAATAGCGTCTTCTCTGTTCAAAGGACAAACTTTGCTTTGGTTTTTTTATGCATCTGCCTAAATAACACCTTATAGTGACGACTGTAATGGCGGTAATGACAATGATAGTATTGTATCTTCCTCCTTGAACCGCGGGTTGTATCTGGAAGAATCAGGTGTGCCATATTTATAATTTAATTGAAGGTTGAAAGATAATGCAGTCTTTAAGTTATGAAGTGTGTTTTTCTAGTGCAGCCAATTTAGGGAATAGGGTGAGCATCGTTTGTGTTGGGTTATGCGGATGTTGAAGGCAACGACTATGTAGATTATCTGGAGGAAAATGCAGTAGCTATGACTGGTCCGAGAGAGGGCAAGAGTCATGTCATTAATGCCGTGCAACATGCATTTCAGGAAGGCGATTAGGGCTGCAAGCAGGCCTCCGTATCTCGGTCCAGGTTGTTGGTGGGTGTAAGAGTGCTCCGTGGGGCAGCCATACAAGAACAGTTCACTAAGGACGCAATATTTGATCAATCAAAACGGAATGGGAGTAATCAGATGCTTTACATTTCTATAGC